TGATACTTGTTTTATAAACCCATTCTGCAAAGGAGGTAGGCGCATGATGGGTTAGGTATAAGTATACAGTGTTCTTCATTGCAGAGAAAATTGTTGTTTATCTGCCTGTCTCGTCTTCATTGAGATAGTTGATGAATTGATGAATTATAAAAATCGTGTTTCAGTTACGAATGTTGAAAACAATATCCAGACTTTTCATAGATTTATATTCTATGTAGGTCTCACGATTCAAATTTGAAATTGATCCTTAGTTTTAGATCCGATTAGCACATTTTTTGGCATGCAAGGTCCTAAATATAATCCACGTAATTGAAAATGTGGAAGATGTCGACTGGAAAAGCTACTATTCGGAAAGAAAGCGGATTTGTAGCAATCCAGTTACGGACGATGAAAATATCATTCAGGTATGTCTAAGTCAAATGTACTTCGATTGATATGTGGTGTTCAGTTGCAGATCCGAAAAGCAGTGTTTGATAATTGCCACCCAATCGGAGAAAACCACCCAGTCAAGACGAACCGAACAGAAGATTCGCAAAGAGAACTGACCAGAGTATACTTTACAGAATTCAGATCCTTATATTCGTACGGAAGGCGATATATTGATATCCTTTCCAGATTCTCAAGGAAACAGATAGACAGATATTCACCTTTATGTCTCTATGGAAACACGACAGGTACCCTTACGAGGGGAGAGTATCAACTCGGCGTTTATAAACCCTCTCTGCAAAGGAGGTAGGCGCATGGTGGGTTAGGTATATACAGTGTTCTTCATTGCAGAGAAAATTGTTGTTTATCTGCCTGCCTCGTCTTCATTGAGATAGTTGATGAATTACAAAAATATATCGCGTTCCAGTTACGAATGTTGAAAACAATATCCAGACTTTTCATAGATTTATATTCTATGTAGGTCTCACGATTCAAATTTTAAATTGATACTTAGTTTCAGATCCGAGCAGCACATTTTTTGGCATGCAAGATCCTCAATATAACCCACGTAATTGAAAATGTGGAGGATGCCTACTGGAAAAGCCACTATTCGGAAAGAAAGCGGATATGTAGCAATCCAATTACGGACGATGAAAATATCATTCAGGTATGTCTCAGTTAAATAGACTTCGATTAATATGTGATGTTTAGTTGCAGATCCAAAAAGCAGTGTTTAATACTTGCCACCCAATCGGAGAAAACCACCCAGTCAAGACGAACCTAATAGAGGATCAGCAAAGAGAACTGAACAGAGTATACTTTACAGAATTCAGATCCTTATATTCGTACGGAAGGCGATATATTGATATCCTTTCCAGATTCTCAAGGAGACAGATAGACAGATATTCACCTTTATGTCTCTATGGAAACACGACAGGTACCCTTACGAGGGGAGAGTATCAACTCGGCGTTTATAAACCCTCTCTGCAAAGGAGGTAGGCGCATGGTGGGTTAGGTATATACAGTGTTCTTCATTGCAGAGAAAATTGTTGTTTATCTGCCTGCCTCGTCTTCATTGAGATAGTTGATGAATTACAAAAATATATCGCGTTCCAGTTACGAATGTTGAAAACAATATCCAGACTTTTCATAGATTTATATTCTATGTAAGTCTCACGATTCAAATTTTAAATTGATACTTAGTTTTAGATCCGAGCAGCACATTTTTTGGCATGCAAGATCCTCAATATAACCCACGTAATTGAAAATGTGGAGGATGCCTACTGGAAAAGCCACTATTCGGAAAGAAAGCGGATATGTAGCAATCCAATTACGGACGATGAAAATATCATTCAGGTATGTTTCAGTTGAATAGACTTCGATTAATATGTGATGTTTAGTTGCAGATCCAAAGAGCAGTGTTTGATAATTGCCACCCAATCGGAGAAAACCACCCAGTCAAGACGAACCTAATAGAAGATCAGCAAAGAGAACTGAACAGAGTATACTTTACAGAATTCAGATCCTTATATTCGTACGGAAGGCGATATATTGATATCCTTTCCAGATTCTCAAGGAGACAGATAGACAGATATTCACCTTTATGTCTCTATGGAAACACGACAGGTACCCTTATGAGGGGAGAGTATCAACTCGGCGTTTATAAACCCTCTCTGCAAAGGAGGTAGGCGCATGGTGGGTTAGGTATATACAGTGTTCTTCATTGCAGAGAAAATTGTTGTTTATCTGCCTGCCTCGTCTTCATTGAGATAGTTGATGAATTACAAAAATATATCGCGTTCCAGTTACGAATGGTGAAAACAATATCCACTATTCTATGTAGGTCTCACGATTTAAATTTGAAATTGATCCTTAGTTTTAGATCCGGCCAGCACATCGTTTGGCCTTCAAGGTCCTTAATATAACCCACGTACGTAATTGAAAATGTGGAAGATGCCTACTGGAAAAAACACTATTCGGAAAGAAAGCGGATATGTATAGCAAATCAAGTTACGGGACGTTGAATATATTATTCAGGTATCTCTCAGATTCAACATCTATGTATTTCCTCCAATGATATTATCTGATTCGAATGTACTTCGATTCAAATGTGAGTTTAGTTGCAGATCCAAGAAGCAGTGTTTGATACTTGTTACTCAATCGGAGAAAACCATTCAGTAAATACGGACCGAAAAGAAGATCCGCAAGGAGAACTGATGAGAGTATACTTCACAGAATTCAGATCATTATATTCGTACGGAAGGCGATATATTGATTAACTTTCCAGATTCTCAAGCAGACAGATAGACAGATATTCAGCTTTATGTCTCTATGGAAACACGACAGGTACCCTTACGAGGGGAGAGTATCAACTCGGCGTTTATAAACCCTCTCTGCAAAGGAGGTAGACGCATGGTGGGTTAGGTATATACAGTGTTCTTCATTGCAGAGAAAATTGTTGTTTATCTGCCTGTCTCGTCTTCATTGAGATAGTTGATGAATTACAAAAATATATCGCGTTCCAGTTACGAATGTTGAAAACAATATCCAGACTTTTCATAGATTTATATTCTATGTAGGTCTCACGATTCAAATTTTAAATTGATACTTAGTTTTAGATCCGAGCAGCACATTTTTTGGCTTGCAAGATCCTCAATATAACCCACGTAGGTAATTGAAAATGTGGAGGATGCCTACTGGAAAAGCCACTATTCGGAAAGAAAGCGGATATGTAGCAATCCAATTACGGACGATGAAAATATCATTCAGGTATGTCTCAGTTAAATAGACTTCGATTAATATGTGATGTTTAGTTGCAGATCCAAAAAGCAGTGTTTGATACTTGCCACCCAATCGGAGAAAACCACCCAGTCAAGACGAACCTAATAGAAGATCCGCAAAGAGAACTGACCAGAGTATACTTTACAGAATTCAGATCCTTATATTCGTACGGAAGGCGATATATTGATATCCTTTCCAGATTCTCAAGGAAACAGATAGACATATATTCACCTTTATGTCTCTATGGAAACACAACAGGTACCCTTACGAGGGGAGAATATCAACTCGGCGTTTATAAACCCTCTCTGCAAAGGAGGTAGGCGCATGGTGGGTTAGGTATATACAGTGTTCTTCATTGCAGAGAAAATTGTTGTTTATCTGCCTGCCTCGTCTTCATTGAGATAGTTGATGAATTACAAAAATATATCGCGTTCCAGTTACGAATGGCGAAAACAATATCCACTATTCTATGTAGGTCTCACGATTCAAATTTGAAATTGATCCTGTTTTAGATCCGGCCAGCACATCGTTTGGCCTTCAAGGTCCTTAATATAACCCACGTACGTAATTGAAAATGTGGAAGATGCCTACTGGAAAAAAACACTATTCGGAAAGAAAGCGGATATGTATAGCAAATCAAGTTACGGGACGTTGAATATATTATTCAGGTATCTCTCAGATTCAACATCTATGTATTTCCTCCAATGATATTTTCTGATTCGAATGTACTTCGATTCAAATGTGATGTTTAGTTGCAGATCCAAGAAGCAGTGTTTGATACTTGCCACTCAATCGGAGAAAACCATTCAGTAAATACGGACCGAAAAGAAGATCCGCAAGGAGAACTGATGAGAGTATACTTTACAGAATTCAGATCATTATATTCGTACGGAAGGCGATATATTGATTACCTTTCCAGATTCTCAAGCAGACAGATAGACAGATATTCAGCTTTATGTCTCTATGGAAACACGACAGGTACCCTTACGAGGGGAGAGTATCAACTCGGCGTTTTTAAACCCTCTCTGCAAAGGAGGTAGGCGCATGGTGGGTTAGGTATATACAGTGTTCTTCATTGCAGAGAAAATTGTTGTTTATCTGCCTGCCTCGTCTTCATTGAGATAGTTGATGAATTACAAAAATATATCGCGTTCCAGTTACGAATGTTGAAAACAATATCCAATATTCTATGTAGGTCTCACGATTCAAATTTGAAATTGATCCTTAGTTTTAGATCCGAGCAGCATATCGTTTGGCTTTCAAGGTCCTTAATATAACCCACGTACGTAATTGAAAATGTGGAAGATGCCTACTGGAAAAAACACTATTCGGAAAGAAAGCGGATATGTAGCAATCCAGTTAGGGGACGTTGAATATATTATTCAGGCATGTCCCAGATTCAATATCCATGTAATTCATCTGATGATATTTATTTTCTGATATAAATGTACTTCGATTGATATGTGATGTTATGTTGCAGATCAGAGAAGCAGTATTTGATACTTGCCACTCAATCGGAGAAAACCATCCAGTCCATACGAACCGAAAAGAAGATTCACAAAGTGAACTGACCAGTATACTTATGGTGACTAGTTATGTTATATACTTGGTATATTATGATTTGATAGTCTGACATTGATTTATAATTTGTATCAATTGTATGAGTGATGATGAGTTGAAATTCAAAATTGTTATGACAACTCAAAAATTGTCAAGAGAATTCAAAATACTCGAGGAGTTCCACAAGGATCAGTCACGGACCCACTCCTTCATCTATTCATCGAATAACTTACCTTCATTTTGCCGACTTCGTTCGTCGTCGTTCCATCCACAACCAGCCCGTCCTCCATGACGCTTTCCAAGAATGCGTTCAACTTTTCCTCGTCGTGTTCAGAATTGCTGCCCTGCGTCTCAACTAGCATGTAAAAAGGGTGGACGGGCAAGGGCGATTTCAATTTCAGATTCCCTGTCACCGCATCGAGACTGAGATGGTCGACGAGCTCGCACGAGGAGATTATCTCGCCCAGGTCACGTTTCGCCCTTTTCATCGTCTTCAGGATGTCCTCGAAGGAGTTCAGCCCTGATGATACAGTCATTCGATGAGTGTTTGATACTTTTATGACTCTATATAGTAGTTTGGTACTTGTATCACCCTATATAGTATAAGATATTTTTATTTGTTGTTAACATGACGACGTGTTGCAATTCTGATATCAACCTTTATTTCATTATCATTATATCATATAACCATACAATTATGGTCCAATTTCTATCAAGCATCGAACATATTGGTCCTTCGAGCCGGATCTATTGAAATCAAACCTTGAAGACCTCCAAGTTCTTTACAAAGGATACAGGGCTGCACTCAAGGCTACCTGGACAAACAGTGGATGCTAAGCATCTGGAGCTTTCACAGGTTGCAACAAGTAGTTCAAGCGAACAGTGAGAATGTAGCGAAATAATTAACTCGAAGCCGATGATTTTTTCTTCACAATTTCTGATACACTGATGGATGTATATGACCATAAATCCGAATAATGGTGTCCTATATTATGAAAATTTATAAATTATTGATCTCACCTAAGAAGGCCAAATTGACAGCCTTAGGTTTCGGAGGACATTGTATGGCAACTTTTGTAACTATTCCCAATGTTCCTTCGGATCCTATGAAGAGATGTTTCAGATGGAAACCGGTGTTATCCTTTTTCAAGGTACTCAGGCAATCGATGACTTCTCCGTCAGCTTTAACCTACAAAAATATGAAATATTATGGCCTCGAAATCATGAAAAATATTTGACTATAGTCAATGAAATCACAAAGAATCTTCAAGAAGTCCATGAAATCATGAACAATCTATGGAATTATGAGAAATGTTTGGGAAGACCATTGAATGATGGTGAATATTAAAAAGCCTGCAATCAATAATACCTCCATCCCTAAGGTTATCGAAATATCATGACGTAATACAATATCTCTGAGAAGTCCATAAAATCAAGCAGTCTCCGGAAGGTCCATGAAATCATGCAAGATAATTATTTGTGCATCCAAATCTCCATTATAAAATGTTTGGGTAGCAATGAATAATAAAAAAATTTTTAGTATCTAGTCTATGAAATCATGGAAGGTCTAAAGAATTCTTTGAAGTACTTGAAATCATGAAAAAATTCATGGAAGTCAATGAAATCATACAAAATCTTCGAGTAGTCCATGAAATGATAAGAAATTTTTAGGTGCAGTCCATGAAATCATGGAAATTCTTTAAATAGTCTTCGATATTATGAAGAGTCTCTAGATAAATTTCGTGCTAGTCGATGAAATCGTGTAAAATCTCGGAGTAGTTCATGAAATGATGAAACATCTTCATGAGCAATCCATGAAATCATGAAAAATCTTTCAGTAGTTATTTGATTGATATCATGAAAAGTTTTAAGGTGTTGTCCATGAAATCATGAAGAATCTTCGAGTTATCTTCGATATCATGAAAAGTCTTTACATGTAGTCCCTGAAAACCCGAGAAATTTCCCGGTAGACCATGAATAATTTCAGAAAGTCTAGGAAAACTGAAAAATATCATTCAACATCTCAACGATGAATTGTTGGGTGGTCAAAAAATCATGGAAAGTCATTCAACAGTTCCATACAATCATTAAAGAAAAATTATTGACTATACTGATTTTTCAATGAAGTAAGCTATTTGATTTGTATACTCAACTGCTTCGATTCCCAGTACACTCCCTTGCAAATTCCCGTATCGCAACAGCCTCAATCCGCCAGCGTTGGTGGCAACGTTGCCTCCTATATGACAGGAGCCCTTAGCACCCAAATCCAGGGGCATCATCAACCCCATTTCAGCCAGATGATTGTCCAGGTTCTCCAATATACATCCGGCTTGACAAACCACAACCCCTAGGAAGAAATCAATGAATCAAATAAATCATCATTACCAAGGACCAAGATTATATCCCGAGGCGCCAGCCGAGGGGTATAAGATCCCGTGGGAATGATATTCTTTACTATCAAGGTTTGAATTAAAATTTTTCCACCAATAGCAATGAATTCCAATCATTTTGGTTCTGTGAAACCGAAATATGGACCTATTGTCTTATGAATAAACTATGAACACTTTAATGAATAATTTACGTAAACGCCTCAGATTCTGTAAAATTTTATGTATTCGAATAGGAGTAGCTTTTTTATGTAATTTTCTTCGCTTCATCAAATCCTCCTGTTTTTTCAACAAAAATAATACAGAGCAAGAAAAAAGTTGTCTTCAAAAAATCATGACTTACCCTCTAAAAACACCTTTTATAACAATATCAGAAATGTGGAAGTGTAACGAAAAAATTTATATTGACAACATACATTAATGCACAGAATTTCAATCGAGTGGCTTTCATTGTTTAGAAGTTATGTGGAGAAATTATTTTAATTTTATCAACTTTGGATCTCCCTTAATATGCATTTTGGGCAAACTACACTTATTTTTCAATGTACTATCACACCCAGAAAGCTCGGTACACATTTTTGACTTACCCTGTATATGTCTTTATCGACTCATTTTGAGATGAGATTCGAAAATTCGAGTTGAAGTCGAAAATTCAGGACTCGATTCAGGATAAACTTCGAAATTTCAAGATGAAAGTCGAAATTTCAAGATAAGAGTCGAAACTTTGAGATGAAAGTCGAAATTTTGAGATAAGAGTTGAAATTACGAATTGAAGAAGAAAATTCGAGATGAAAGTCTAAATTTCGAGATGAAATCGAAATATCGAAGAAAAATCGAAATTTTGAGATGAGGGTCGAAGGGTGGAAGTCGAAATTTCGAGATGAGTCGAAATTTCGAGATGAGTCAAAATTTTGGGTTGAAATCAAAAATCCTAGATGAAAGTCGAAATGTCGAGATAAAAGTTGAAATTTTGAGGAAATGGTCGAACTTTTGAATTGAAGTCGAAAATTCGAGATAAATTTCGAGATTTGGATCGAAATTTCGACAAAAAACTCGACATTTTAAGTTGAAGTGAAAATTTCGAGATAAACTCGAAATTCCCACATAAAAGTCGAAATGTTGAATGAAAATTCGACATTTTGAGATGAAATTTGAAACTTCGAGTTGTAGTCGAAAATTCAAGACAAAAGTCGACATTTCAAGATGAGAGTCAAAACTTTTGAGTGGTAATTTGAAGGTAAATGCCGAAATTTCGAGATGAAAGTCAAAATTTTGAGATAACAGTTGAATTTACGAATTGAAGTAGAAATTTCGAGATGAAAGTCTAAATTTCGAGATGAAATCGAAATATCGAGAAAAAATCGAAATTTTGAGATGAGGGTCGAAATTACCAGTGGAAGTCGAAATTTCGAGATAAAAGCCGAAATTTCCACATGAGTCAAAATTTGGGGTTGAAATCAAAAATCCTAGATGAAAGTCGAAATTTCGAGATAAGAGTTGAAATTTCGAGGAAAGAGTCGAACTTTTGAATTGGGGTCGAAAATTCGAAATAAATTTCGGGATTTGAGTCAAAATTTCGACAAAAGACTCGAAATTTTAAGTTGAAGTGAAAATTTCGAGATAAACTCGAAATTCCCACATTAAAGTCGAAATGTTAAATGAAAATTCGATATTTTGAGATGAAATGCAAGACTTCGAGTTGTAGTCGAAAATTCAAGACAAAAGTTGACATTTCAAGATAAGAGTTGAAACTTCGAGTTGCAATTTGAAGATAAAAGCCGACATTTCGAGATGAAAGTCAAAATTTTGAGATAACAGTTGAATTTACGAATTGAAGTAGAAATTTCGAGATGAAAGGCTAAATTTCGAGATGATATCGAAATATCGAGGAAAAATCGAAATTTTGAGGTGAGGGTCGAAATTACCACTGGAAGTCGAAATTTCGAGATAAAAGTCGAAATTTCGACATGAGTCAAAATTTCGAAATAAAAGTTGAAATTTCGAGGAAAGAGTCGAACTTTTGAATTGGAGTCGAAAATTCGCAATAAATTTCGGGATTTGAGTCGAAATTTCGACAAGACTCGAAATTTTAAGTTGAAGTGAAAATTTCGAGATAAACTCGAAATTCCCACATAAAAGTCGAAATGTTGAATGAAAATTCGACATTTTGAGATGAAATTTGAAACTTCGAAACTTCGCGAGTTGCAATTTGAAGATAAAAGCCGACATTTCGAGATGAAAGTCAAAATTTTGAGATGAAATCGAAATATCGAGAAAAAATCGAAATTTTGAGATGAGAGTCGAAATTACCAGATAAGAGTCACAATTTCGAGATAAAAGTCACAGTTTCGAGTATAAAAAGTCGAATCTCTCAGATAAACATAACAATTTTGGCGTAAATATAAGTCGGAAATTTTATCGACTGAAAAAACAAAAATTCCGTGGCCCTCCCACGCCTCCATAACAATCTTTTTTTTGTGTGGTTTTGTTTCTGAAAAATTCCTACCTGATGTGTCATCGGTGCTGATAATTTTATTCATCAAGCCGGTCCAAATGACCACTTCATCGAATACCGGCACAGAACCACCGACCAAACCGGTGTTGCCACCTTGCGGGCAAACGGCAATGGAATTTTCGTTGCAGAACGACATTATTTTGGATACTTCTTCTGTAGTTTTCGGTTTGAGGATGCATCTACTGTAACCTATAGAAAAAAAGCGAATTAGTTGCGGATTTTCATGATATCCCAAACCCTGAATTCGAAATCTTGAATGAAAACCTCCATTTCTTATCGCAACCGCACTAAAACTACAAAAGCTTTATTTGAGATATTTTTTATTTTTGGTGGATGGCGCTTCATTCGCAAAAAAAATAATTTTTCATTGATATTTTCAAACTGCATTCTCTTATTCATTTATCAAATTCACATGGAATTGTCTGAAGAACGAGAACTAATAGTATACAGGGTGTATCTAAATTTCAATAGTTCAATCTAATAAAAATATATGAAACTGTACAATGACATTCACCATAAATATCGATAAATTCACTCACTGTGACGCCACTGGAAATATTATTTCGAATCTAATTGCACTAGAAGAAGCACCATATTACTATTAACAAAGATGACAATTGAGAAATGAATAAAAAAAACGATTTTTCATGGAAATATTTATACACTGTATCTCGAAAACGAAGCAAGTTAGGACACTTTATTTCCTAAAATATCACAAGGAATAATCCCTTGAAATTTTTCGGTGTTATTTATAGATACACCCTGTATAAGTGGGATTTTCGCGATGTTGTTATCAATCTTATTTCGGATTTTGTCTTGTGCTCCTAGTTCTTATATCATGTTGACGGATAATCGGGAACGCGAAAACGGAATTAGGGTGGTTAATGGGACGTTATTTTTTTCCGTATGATGGCAAACTTTGTTGGATTCAGTAATTCATGTTCACTTCAACAAGGCAACATGCTCACTGCAATAGCAAATTATGGAATAAACGCAATAAAAAAGATTAACTGATGGTCTAGTGGAACTAATGAGACTTGGAAAGCCGAAACAGTTTGTTTTGTCATGATTTTATTCGTCTAATTTCCCATCGCTACTATATAAATTAGGTAATCATTTGTGGAGAAAAAAGTTATATAAAAGGATGCATTATATTATTATTGCAATTATGTTTCAATTTCATTTCTATCTTCTAAGACGAAAAGTTCATATAACGATAGGTAATATATAGTTCCGAAAATGCAAAATTTTCAAGATATTATGAAAAAAATATGAAATCGAATTACCCCAGCAAGAAACTCTAATAGCATAGGGGACAAGCGAGTTATCACCTGTGATTATAAAGTCGACTTTGCTGATTATAACCCACCTATGCGATTATTAAATTATTAGCCACTAGCGAGTGCATCAGACGATGGTGTTTTTGTAGTAGGTATCTGACTTTGCTACCGCTAGTGAGTGTATCTAATAATGGGAGTAGGGCAATTTTATAATCGTAGGTAGGGAACTTTGCTACTCTTGATGGGTGATCATATAGATAGTTGCATGACCTTCTTACTGTATAGTTATTTCAGTTCAGTTATTTTCCAGGATTGTTGTCATCAAGAAAGGTGAAATTTTGACTGATATCCACTTTCACTTCCCATAATTTCCACCCTGATGTTTGGTATGAATAGCAATTTATTGATTCCTAAAGAAAATTTCGGACCAATGATCTTTGAAATTCAATAGATCAATTGATTCATGCACCCTCGGGAAAAACAGAAGGTTTTTGAGTAATTGATGAGAAAAAGAATTTTTCTGAAACTTTCTGAAACCATTGTATTTCGAAAACTAGGCAAGTTATTACAGATGCGTACAGGAAAACAAAATGTTACCAGTAAAATCAAAATCATTCAAATATTTTCATAACCTGGACATTTTTGCTCACAATAAGTTTTTAGACCACATTCTATAAAGAAGCTCTGGAACATATTTGACAATTTTAAAGTTTCATGGTACCAAAAAGAGGGAGATGTTGAATGTAAAATATTTGAATTTCAGTCGAAATACCTCGAAAAAACTCGCCATTATCATTCCATCAATCCTGGTAATAACTGAAGCACTCAGATCTACGAAAGCACTGAAAGGGTTATACAAGATTTTTTTATTATTGAATTCAAGAAGGGAAGTATTCGTATATCTAACTGTCGTGTCGTCGAGATTGTCGTTCTGTACATGGGTTTGCATCAAGAGCCCAACTGTGAATGATTGATCAAGCAAGATGTCTGATAAATGCTCATATAGAGGGGGACGAAAATCAGCAAAATATCGAATAACGATAAGTATGCGCTTAGTAACCCCAAGTAGGTTCGTCAAATATTATTTTCGTGGCAGACTGATGAAAGTTGTTTTATTGGTAGTGAGTGCAGTTCCATGCGATGAACCTCGCAGCCACAAGCATATTAGTAGTAGTTCAGCTAGACAATTATTACATATAAAAAAATCATGCTGTCCCAGAGTGGCTGCCTGATAGCGACAGCAGTATACCTTTCTGTGGCAGGAAATTCACTTTTAGCAAAGTCGTTATTGCTATCATAGGATTTCAAGGTGCTGCTTCTATTCGAAAATGTATAACGTTATAACGGTTATATGATTTCTTGTAATGGTAGCAAGAAATATCTCAGCAAAAACTCTATCAATAGCACAATTTTCCTCAGTGCGCATTATTTGTGTTCCTGCCTATATCGAGCTCTCACCTCTGACATTCTTGATCCAATCGACGTTGAACCCCTCGCATTCGTCCTCGTCCGTGACGACCCTATCGGCCCCTAGCAGTTCCCTGAAGTGGCCCACGTGACGGTCGGTGAGCTCGCTGAACGCGCCCCTACACACGTCGGGGTATCGATCCTGCGCAGAGACAGACGTAGTAATTAAGGGGAATGGAATTTTCGGTGTTTCCCCACTGTATATATCATTCCCCGATCTAGGTTTCCTCTCTTTGCCGTGTTCGCGCCTTTTTTTATCGCGTCAAAGGCGTTTTGATGCATGTTAGACGGATAATGGAAGCAATTATCTATCGGCGATGGAGGTAAAAGAAGATGATGGGGAGAAAGAACGAGAAGAGGTGGTTTTGGTCTTTTCTCGCCCTTTTGGCACCTATTACAGGCTTTTATTCAGCTTCAAATTTATGGATTTATACCATATACTCAATAGATAGAGGTGTTGTAGGTTTTTGACTTCAAAATAACATTATGATATGAGAAATCCCAGCGAGCACAAAAACATCTCAGAGATGTAAAAAAACCATTTTCGAGGTACTTTTCTGAAGCCTTTTGTCAAAATGAACTTTTGCATTAGGATTGCATTTCCCTTGAATGAAAAATGCATTAAATATATAATTATAGATTGAACATAAAAATATTTTCTTGATATGAAATTACCTTCTTAATCGGTTTCTGAGTAGTGCTTACTACACACAGACATATAATTGGAAATAGGTTTCCCAATTTTTGAAATGTTCTCCACAATGCATAATTTTGCTGCGGAGAAGCTGTGTATTGATAAATTCGTACTTTTATATATATTGATTACACTGAGGCAACGAACAACACATCTTGCATCTGATGGTCATTATTACAAACTAAATAAGTCTTCTAACACAATAAACTTCACCAAATTCCTTTCTGTTCGTTAGCAGCGTGATGTAAGCGTGACACGCTGCAAACGCGAATGCCAATTGCGAACAAGAAGAACAAAATCGAAAACAAATCAGAATTCATCGTATTGTGACGTAAGCATGAGACGTTGTGGTGGGGCAAACAAAGAAAGGACACAAAAGAACAAAAACAATACTTTCAATATCCTTCTAAGACCTCTTTGGAAAGTGCATATCACGCCTCAAAAAAACATCCTCATGCCTACATTTCTAATACATCCCAAAACATCCCAGGGATACCTCTCAGTAGGCAAACAAAGAAATGCCACAGAAGAACAAAAACAATACTTCAATATCCTTCAAAGACCTCTTTGGTCAGTGCATATTACGTCTCAAAATAACATCTTCATGCCAACATTTTCAAAACATCCCAAAACATCCCAGGGATGTTTGTGCTCGCTGGGCTTGGTTTTATCATTTGTGTTTCATCCTGAAATGAAGTTAAATAATCATAACAATAATATTGATTAGATATTTAATAATATCTATTGAACTGGCGGTGACGTAAATTGACCTTTATATTCAATACTAGAAGAGAAAAATCAATTCTCAAGAAGAAAATAATAAATTGAACAGTATACCTATCTGATATTCTGTAGATTGACGAAAAAATCATGAGCAAAAACATAATCATAACTTTCATGTATAGAATGTTCCATACATGGTATTGTTCTATCAGAACTAACAATGGTATTTTCCATTTTCATAACAGTATATCATTTGTCTATTTTTACTATTTTCACAGACGATAGCTTCTTGCAACGCAAAAAGCTGAATATTTTCAGCTTTTTGCGTCATTTCAATCACAGATTTTGCTTCACCAATCAGAATACGAAACGTAAAAAGCAAAACGTAAAAAGTTTGGTTGTGAACGCCGCTTTATACAGCTGAAAGGTACATATCGGTGATGATTTTATAACCACATAATATAGTGTAAGGATTTATGTTGACGATGCAAGATAATGCTAGGCCTCACGTCGCCCGAGTTGTGATAAATTATCTATATATAGAGGAAGTCTGTATCGCTACCATGGCATGGCCAGTATACGCGGAGCCCGAATCTCTGATGGAACAATCTTGGGTCAAGATTACAAGAGGAACGTAAATTGAATACCTACTTCGAAAATCGCACGGCAGAGACTGATGATTCGAATTTGGAAAGACCAAAACCAAAATTACATGAGGTCTCTCATTTTGAGTATAAGTTTTCTTTACCAAAACTTCGACGAAACATGTTATTCTTTGTAGAGGTCGAAGAAAACCTAAGTATAGTACATATCGTGGGTCATCTCACGTAATGACGTATCTCATAAAAATCGGAATCTGAGATACTTCGTCAAGTGATTTATATTCTTGTACTTTATGATCTCACAAAGTGGCGTAACTCAATATTCAATGGTTTTCGTGCATTTGAAAATCTAATACCCAGCCTATCTCAAATTATTGGACTACCGAATCTCACGAAGTGACCTAACTATAGGAGTTACGTCAATACGTGAGATATATTTTCATTATGTGTTGAAAATGTCGAAAGTGACGTATCTCACATCGGGTTTGTCGCGGAAATTTAAAATATCTCGGGTGACGTATATCAAGGTACTGAAAGGAGGATTGTACATGTCGAATGAATTTCTGTGTTTCTATCAATAAAAATGAATATACGGATCTGTTATTCATTTGAATTCACTCGATATCCATGGGTGTATCTGAGGCTCCATTAACAAACATGATCTCACGTAGTGACGTATCTCATAACTTTTTTTTTTTTTCGTTTTTGGGGATGCTTTTTCGAAATCTCACCATATCATGACAACTAGTTCCAGTTCATCCACTGATAAATGAGAAAATAATGATCTTTTTTGAACAACCCTCTGAGTTATGAGCTAATTAAGATGTTGAAAATCTTTGAACTGCTCTGCTGTGAAATTAGGAAAACTGAGATACGTCACTACGTGAGATGGCCGTCGATATAATTACAGGAAGAAATGATCACTCGTCACGGATTCAGGAAGAATGAAAAGGAAATATCTATATTGTACCTTGGTGAGTTGGGGTATCAGGGTGCCGCCACTGGCGAATCTCCTCGATGCTGCGCCGCTGGACCAAGGACGCGAACGGAAGGGCCTTTTCCCCAGGGACAGCCGCAGCCCTGCAAGCGTCAGTTGCCTAGTCTCCCCCGAAAACATTGTAAAGGGAGTTCCTGCGCGAAGGATCCTGAAAAATATTCGAATAAGAGCTTTTTCGAGAATTGTTTCGCATCTATACAGGGTGCCCATTTTTCGAGCTCCACCATCATGGGGATCTCAGATAGATAAGAGATACGAGGTCGTTTAAATTAGGGTAGCGAATTATTGAATGAAATCGAAAATGTATGATTTTCGTTTTTATTTTTTCAAGTGGAAACCAAAAATACAGACGTTTCTGACTGGGACATTCTTAAGGCACTTTTTTACAAGGAATCTGAATCTGTCATTGTATTTTCCATGACATTCTTGATGCCAAAGTTACTACATACAACATTCCAAAGCACTATAGCTCTTTGCAAAACTGTATTTTTCCAATTTGGATCAACAGGAAAGATTCAATCATATCGTGTGATACATCATTGTAATCAGAAAAAAAATGACTTTTCAAAAATGCGAAAATTCACTATGGCGATCTTGAGAAAAAACAAAGTTGAGTGTTGTAATTTCGGCATCAAGAAGTGCCACGGAAATTTCGACTTCTATATACAGGGTGTTAACAAATAAGTGTCACAACGGAAAACTATAGATTGCTGATGACAAAAGAAACATTTTTTTCCCTTTCGAAATTTTTCTCCGGTCTTCCGTTATCAAGATACAGGGCGTCAAAAAAATACGAAAAAAATCTGTTTTTTGCTACCATCTCAGGAACCGTCTGAGCTATGGAGTTGAGCCTTCGTACACACTTCATCATCAATAATGGCTACTTTTAGGGCTCTCGATCAATTTCCTTGGACATGTCAGTGAAGGAGAATTCAACGCCTCGTAAGGGTTTAATCCCCCAAACATTAATGCCACTGGAGAAATTGTAATTTTCAAAGTAGATTCTGAAGCGCCAATATCTATCACACAAAAAACGTCCTCCTGTCTCAATGCTCTAAAGTGAACAGTTTCCGCGAAAAATGGCTCTTTATGAATAAACACATACAAAATCCTGATGGTATCTCTAAAAATCGTCTAAAAATCCACTGGAAATAAACACCTCAGAGCTGTCTAATAGTAATAATGTTAATGTAGTAAATGTTCAATCAAATGTCAGGTTCTTGAGTATGCTGGTCTCGATGCTGGTTTTCAAATTGTTGAGTTTATTAAGTGTTGTAGAGTGTGTTTAATTAAACTGAACATTTTTAATTTTTTGACGCCCTGTATCTTGAAAACGGAAGCCCGGAGAAAAATTTTGAAGAGGTAAGAAAGGTTTCTTTTATTATGAGGAATCTACAGTTTTCCGTTGTGACACTTATTTGTTAACACCCTGTATATGTAAGTAGGCGCGGGTAATAAGGCCTGTCGGCTAATAAGGCCTAAATGATGAAAATGCAATTTAAAATAGTCGGTGTGGGTCAAGGTCACACTAATAGGTCGCTAACTATCATAGATGACACCTGAAATCTGCCATGATGTGTTTGGTCGCTAAGGGCGACCAGTGCGGTGTCATTCGTTAAGAGTAGTAGTCGTGTGGCTCGAATAATAAGAATTCGTCCAAATCAATCGTACGTATTTTTTGAAATATTACACTTATTGATATAATTCTGCGTTATAGTTTTCTATGATGTCATGGTTCTGCGATCTTTGATGTTTGAATAATATATCAAGGTCCGAATAATGTTCTTTTCAGATTTTCTTTACACACGTTGTTGGAGGTTATTAAGGCCTACCAATAAAAGAATTGAAAAGACCTCAACCCCCAAAAGTAGAAGTGGTACTGAACAGAACCAGGCGAGTTGGTACTGTCATGTTTGTGAGGAGGAATGGCTGACATTAGACAATGATCTAAATGCATCAAGTGATGGTATCACGAGGAGTGCGTCGGTTTGTCAACGGATGATACAGATAATTTTGAGTGTCCTGAGGGTTGTTAAACAAAGAAATTTGTTGTTATTTTCAAGACCTCAGCATGATCAATGCATGATTATCAATTATCGATCTCAATTACCAAATGTTAGGAGTCTATTTTTATTTCTTATGCATATTACAGTCATAGGCCTTATTATCCTACTATAGTATAATAAGGCCTACTGAGAAGGTTTTTAAAAAAGTTCAATCATGTTTTTATTTATGACACACGTTGCCATGTTCTGTCTATTTTTGACAGGACCTGATCTTAAGGTTTAATTAACATTAAAATTCGTTGATTTTGTTGAATAGTTTTCATTTTATTTCAAATCCCCCTTAGCTAGGCCTTATTACCCGCACCTACCTTACTTAATCTATTTTGACGAGATTACGTCATTCATCTCGAAATTTCCACTTTTATATACAGTGTGTTTACAATTTGGTCCATCAACCCGCACCCTTGTACTTCCGTATTCCTATAGGGCGATTTGAAATTCTTTTTCTCATATAATATACGACTCAAAATTATCTACTTTGTCAAGCAACAAAAATTATCAAACACAATTGCTTGGCCTACTGCAATCACAAAAACTTCACAAAATTGATGAACGCAATTTTTGTCAATAATTTTGTGTGTACCTCCTTATCTCTGATGATTGTAATGTAAGTACCTACTGTTTTTTTCAAGTGTTGTTTTGCCATTTGGCAAGCCATTATGTTCTTTTTTCTTTGCTAACCTGCCATGTGGCAAGCATTTATCCACAATTTTTCCATTTAAATGAAATGAAATAATCAAAACCTCTCTCGTCAAAAGCCAAGCGAGTAGCTATAAGTTACGACCTATATATAGGAGGGTCAACATCACTGAGTTGCGACATTTTGACATATATCTCTAATTTTTTTCTTTTATTTGAAATTTCGACTTTTATTTCAAATTTTGACTGATATCTCAAAGTTTTCAATTTTATTTATAGTAATTTTCACTTTTATTTCGTCGAATGTAGGTAAATGACGTCTTGGCATAAGGCCCTGTATCCTGTAATCATATAATTATTACTTGCAAATGTGATGTGTATATTATATAGGTATAGAGAATAAGAAATATTGACCATAATTGCCTAGTAACTAATGTGTTATGAAAGACAACTGTTTATCGTTATGTCCTTCTGCATGATGTACTTACACGCAAACAGCCCTCAACTTCAACCCTTCATTTAAATTATCTTCAACCCCTCTATGCTGTGTCGTCATCAGCAGATCGCGATACGATTCGCCCCCTCGTGTAGTGGATTTGTTGAATCTGATGGACGAGGGTGCTGTATATATTATACAAGGTCGGATATAACGACCCTGGACCCACCCTAACCCTCGTAAAAGTGCGAGCAATTTATGTGTTCGGATGTTGCGCGGGGTGTGTATATTTACCCTCTATCGATGGGGGAATGGGGGATGAATCCCCATTTATGTGTTTATAGGTCTGGAATTCGGGAATTGGGTCATTAGGCTATAGGTATATATATAGGCGCAGATTGCTTCCCCATCAGCATTTTTTTTTATTTTATTAGTCCGCATTTAATAAGGGTGACTATGATGCAGGGTAATTCCAAAATTGCTTGAACACAGAGCTTCCACGCGTGTAATGCAGGTGAAAATAAGTTAATTGGATCCAATTAATTTTATTAACAAAATGTACTGTTTGTCCGTGAGACGAGTTCAAAGAAAAACCCATTTTTGTACGCTGTTCAAAAATGAGTGAACAAATGATGCGATGAAATTTGGCAAAAGTGCATTTTAGAGGATTATACGCTTCTGTTCGTGATCAAAAAAACCTAAAAAAAATTGTGAAGGTAATTAATCAGTCATCTCGCTCAAAAATAAATATAAAAAAATACTACCCCTATTACAAGAATGTTCTGAAAAAAATGTCAGGGGGTGAGGGTGATATCGACCTATATTTCTACAATTTGTTTCGAGTTTCTTTGATTACCTATATACTGAAAGGAGAGGGTTATATTCTCTAAAATGCACTTTTGTCAAATTTCGATCAAAACGGCTTAGGTACATGTCCCTATATATTATTATATATATCTCAACTTTTGATTCATACTATCTACTGGAATTCAATTGGAAAAAATACAGGGTGCTTCAAGATTCAGAATTCTGATCACCCTGTATCTGTTCCAATTAAATTGAATAGTTTCGACACAAAAAAATCCTAAAATTGAAAAATCTCGATTTTGAACAATCTATATACACTGTAGAAAATTCCTCTGAGTGAATGCATACGTGGTTGTGAGTGAATTTACTGATTGACATTTTTGAGTGAATTCTCAACTCAAACTTGATATTTCATCAAGTTCTCATATCGATGAGAATGTTTATAAAAAATTTGATTGAATCGGTTCATGAATTACCATTTTAAACAGTCGAATAGGGTGCAATTTCAACTCAATCGGGCGTAGACCGAAATTGACTCAATATTGCGTGGACCTTGAGTGAAATTTCACTCAATTTTTTTTTTCAGTGTATCTCTATAATTATCTCTGCTAGACCCCAAGTGTGATGCATTGATGAAATCAGCTCTTATTCAGGAAGAATCTGAAAATGCAATAAAATACAGGGTGCTCCATTCAAAATAACGAAGTTGCTAGTGGTTTCTGATATAGAAGTGGCAACACTGTATCGATGAAAATGTTTTAGATGGATAGAGAGAATGTTCCATTATCAAAGCATCCCAATTTTCGAAACGTTCTGTCTTTTCGTTCCCCACAGATACTTCTATAGGCCATCCACCGTGGATCACCCTGTATATAAGTATGTTGGTATACCAACATGGTAACCCATGTTCAAACATCAGGGTGATTCTGGGTATATAATATCTAAAGTATACCTTATTATTGAGAAGGAACATTCTCATCTGTATGTATTTATGAACTCAAAAAATGGATATAGATATGTATACCTATATATAAAGAAATACATTGAGAATTCGCATTCTCCATGTGATGAAAATAATGATTCTTTCTCGGTTTATTCAACAGAAAACAACTACTTTCCTATAGCTATATGCCACGACGAATATTGAATTACCTACTTACATCTATTGAACA